ATAAAAAAAATAAAAAAAGAGAAGGCCCCCAATACAATCCAGACACTCAACAACATAATTTTTTACAATGTTCACTTGCCAGTAAAAATTATTATATATGCAAAGAAAAATGTGACTCATATTCAGAAGAAAACTCAGTTGATAAACCAGTATAGGAGATAAAATTGGATACTAAAAAATTCAGTTGTCCAAAAGAAGATGGAAAAAGGAACCAGGGAATAAATCAGAAAAGGAGAAAACAAGGGTGCCTGGGTGGCTTAGCTAATTGAGCGTCAGTCTCTTGGTTTTGGATCAGGTCATGATCTCACAATTCATGAGTTCAAGTCCCTGGAACCTGCTCTGGATTCTGTGTCTCCCTCTCTCTTTGCCCCTCCCCTGCTCATGTTCTGTCTGTCTCTCCTTCAAAAATAAATATTAAAAAAAAATTTTTTTTAAGTGAGAGATTGTCAAACTGAATAAAAAAACAAGATCCAAAACTGTAAGCTGTCTATAAGAAATCTTTAAATATAAAGATATAGCTAGGTTAAAGGTCAAAATATGGAAAGAGATATACTGCAAACTAAAATCATAAGAAAGCTGGAGTGCCTATATTAATACTAGATGAATTATATAACAGGGCAAATAATATTACCAGAGAAAAAGAGACCCATATCATCATAATGAAAAGGTTCATTTGTAAGAGGAAAAATGGTCCTAAATATTGTTTACCTAATGACACTTGTTTAAAATAGATGAAGAAAAAAAGATCTCATTTGCCATAGCATCAGAAACAACAAAATATTCAGAGATAAGTTTAACAAAATAAATGCAGTGCCTATATGCTGAAAACTATAAAACATTGCCAAGACAAATTATGGAAGACCTAAATAAGCGAAGAGATATACTATGTTGGATACAGATACATTGCTAGTGGGAACCAAGATAGTAAAACTACTTTGGAAAAACCTTATTTTTTTGGAAAGTTAAACCTGTACTACCAGTCAAGCCAGAAATTCTACTCCTAGGTATTCACTCAAGAGAAATGAAAATATACATCTACAAGAAGACTTACATGGAAAAGCCCATTGCAGCTTTCATTCATAATGGTCCCAAGTGAAATAACCCAAAGGTCCATCACTAATTGAACAGATAAACAAAAAGGAATGAACCACGGATACGTGGAATAATACGGATGAATCTCATAATCATTCTGCCAAGTGAAAGGGGCCATACGTAAGGGGTACCTGTGCCATAATTTCATATTTAAAGAGTTGAAGTTAACCTACGGTGAAAGGATGCAGATCAGTGGTTGCCTAGAGGAGATATGGGAAAGGGAATCAGCTACAGAGAGGCAGGAGAGAATATTTTGGGGTAATGGAAAGTTCCATATTGTTTGGAGGGGGTTAGTTAGAGGTATCTATACATTTATTAAAACTCATCAGACTTAAACTTAGGTGCATTTTATTGAATCTAAATTGGCTCTCTGCAAAGTGGACTCCGAAGTAATGGGAATAATCCAATTGTTAGGAAGAAGTTGACGACTCAAGAGAAAAAAAGGATGATTAATGGTATGACGTAACTGACAATGTGTAAGTTCTATGAGAATAGGGGACTTGATTATCATGTTTAGTATGCTGTTCTGAGTGTGTGGCTTTATTAGGGTTGAATGAGTGTTTATTGAATCAATGAGAGAATTAAAGGTGAATGGGTTAAAAGTCCAAAGCACACATTAGACACTGGGCTTAGATAGTAGGAGAAACATTTTCTCTAAAGTAACAGAAGAAGATATAGATAGGTTTGAGACTCCTGTGAAATTATTGATCTTGAATTTACAGCAATACTAATTTTCCCTGTAGCTTAACATTCTCCAAGAATGCTTGGATGTCGGGGTACAAATGCAAAGAAAGAAAATTCTAGTGTTTGTCCATATTCTAGAATTGATTTGATGACAAGACAGAAGGATGAAAAAAAAGTTTATTTAGGGTTTGGCAGGAGTGTTATTAAAATAATCGATCATAATCTAAGCAAGATAAGAAATAAAGTGGAAAAAGCAAATAAAGAAAAAAAAGCAAATAAAAATAATACCAAGGATTGGTGAGGAGGTAGAACAACTGGAACTCTTTATCTTTAACTGGTGAGAATGAAAATTGATAAAAGTACTTTAGAAAACTGTTCAACAGTGTCTATGAAGGGTAAACGCGTGTCTACCCTATGACTCATCAAGTCCATTCCTAGGTATATGCCCAAGGGAAATGAGGGCATATACCCATAAAAAGACGTGTGCAAGAATATTCATTGCAGCTTTGTTCATGATAGCCTCCAGCTGAAAGACAAGAACCTAAACTGGTATATTCATAAAATGGAATAATATATAGCCATAGGAAGTATGACTTAGTAATACAAAAATGTGACTGAATCTCAGAGACATTGTGCTGAGCTAAAGAAGGCGGACATGAAAGAATACATGTTATATGAGCCTATTTATACAAAGTTGAAGAACAGGAAAAACTAATGGATGATTTTATTTTATTATTTATTTATTTACTTTTTTTACTAAAGGATGATTTTAAAAGTCATAGAATGGTTATCTTTCTGGGGGTGTTTTTGGAGGGGAAAGGAGCGTAAGGGAAATATTCAGAAGTGATAAGAATGTTCTATGTCTTAGAGAGATAGATCTGAATTTGTATTCTGTAAGATCAGGTGGAAGACGTATATATCACTACACAAAAAACAAATTTTGACAAGCTGACAATCTTAGTTACTGAGATCTATTTGCCTTACAGATGTTTATTTTGACCACTGATAATATTTGGTTTTCTTCCTATCATTTTTAGGTTTTTGGTTTTTCTTTGCTATATTTTCATGTTGTGTTTCTCTTGTTTTTTTCTTCCCTTTTTCTGAATTGAGCAACTTTCTTTTGTAACCTTGTCTTTTTGGTAAATTGGAACTTTTACTATTTTTCTGTAGCCTATTAAACACACATATTTAAACCTGTTTTTTTATATCAAGGAAAAAATAAATAATAACTAGGCAATAACCTAGTTCTCTTTACCAAAACAATCTGGTTTCCTTTACCTGAGCTTTATTGAGAAAAATCTAGAATTTTAATTCCAAATTATTTTTTCCCTTATAATGTGTTATCACTACTTCAGAAATCCTTAAGAATTACATCATGATTCACAACATCATTATCATTCAATTTTACTATATATCTCATTGTATTTATTGAGATAGTACTATTGTTTTTTATATCTTGTCTTCCCCAGTGTTGGCTGGAGCATTTACCAAGTAATTTCTTTAAGTATATAGTTAATGTACTTGTTGGGTTAGTGAGTGCCTGCTGATTTTCAAGCCTCAATCCCCAAATGCTTTCCTCCCTTAAAATTTCTCTGGGTTTCCAGGTCGCTGTGCTCTCCCGATCAGTGTTGGAGCCAGTGTCTCCGCCACTGCTCTCTGCTCTGCTAGAGGCCATCTTGTCCCATTGGTTCACGTCACTGGAAACCCACAAGTACTATAAGCTTGGTGCTTGTGGCAGACTTTCAACGAAGATTTGTCTCCCCAGAAAGAGTCTAAGAGGCTTGAGAACAAACACCATGACTTTTGTAACTCTCACAGTTTCTAGTAGAGAGTTAGACATATACAAACAATGGCTTTAATTTGGATGTTAGATAACGCTGTCCCCAAATCCAATGGCCATTTCCCCTGCAAGTGGTATTTTTATCCCAGCTGTGCCCTTTTAGGTCACAGCTTACTGCTACCTTCTCTGTCTTCTGTACTCTTCCAGCCTCACACAATTATACCTCCTTACTCAGAGTAATCTGTCTCTCCATTCTCTGCCTGAAACTGAACCCCAATGTTTGTTATATCTCCAGACACAATAAGATGTTCTTTTAGAAAGGGACCAACACAAAGAGCCAGCTAAAGCTTTGAAATTCAATTTTTTTGTCTTTAACATAAGCAGAACACCCACCTTCACCAGTCTCTGGAAATGGAAGAAAAATAGCGTAACAATTTGTTTTCTCCTTGACCAAAGAAAACCCACAGGAGTTATGCATTTGTTGTTGTGTATTTTGGCTACCCATGAATTCTGAACATCTCAGAGTGGGATATAGGCCTTCCTAGAGCTCTATACTTTTTTTTTTAGTGTTTTTATTTTATTTGTGAGAGAGAGAGAGTGAGTGCGAGTGGCAGGAGGGGCAGAGAGAGAGAAGGAGACACAGAATCCAAAGCAGGCTCCAGGCTCTGAGCTGTCAGCCAAGAGCTCGATGCGAGGCTCGAACTCACTGACCATGAGATCATGACCTGAGCTGAAGTCGGACACCCAACCGACTGGGTCACCCAGGCACCCCTACTTTTTCTTCATGGCATATTACCATTTGCCCTGTTTCAGATTTTATCCAGTCTTACACTGTGTTATGTGCCGTTTTCTATTGCTTTTTAGTGATTTCACGTATGTAATTTCTGCTTTCTCAGAAAGAGTAGTGATTAGAAGCAGGTACTAATTCTGGAGACTGTCAGGGGATCAAATATATACAGGTACTAAAGGCTTCTTGTGTATTGACTAAGAATTATGCCAATATATGTTACTTAATGACCTTCTATTATGTGCAGACAATGTGCTAAACGCTTTACACACATGATCTCTAATCCTCTCCTTGCTCCTTTGAGGAGATAGGTATTATTATGCTGTTTATACAGAAAGGGAAACTGTGTGAAATTCTTGCAGCTTAAGTAACTTGTTGGATTCCACACGGCTCAGTTGAAAAATTAGATCTGTCAGATTCCAAAATACTCTGCTCCTCCTGCCATCATCCCAGGAATTCCAAAGCCACCAATATTGGCAACCGTATCTCTGTCAGTGATGTTTTTTTAAATAAAAACTTTACAATGCACTTAGTGGGCAGTGATCACATCCTTTTTGTATGATTATGTTCTCTGCAAGTTTCTAGACGCCATTCCCTTTTTTGGTGTGATTTTTAAAGCTCGTATGTGAACCTGATCGTTTTCTCTCTACATTTCAGTTTGATCCACTAACGATTGAGAGCAAAAAAGCGGCAACTGTGGTGTTAATGCTTAATTCTCCAGAAGAAGAAATTTTGGCTAAAGCATGTGAAGCCATTTATAGATTTGCTTTAAAAGGTTTGGCTTTTTCAGTTTATTTTTCTATTTCATTAGTTTCCTAAAATATTTACTACATAATGGGCACTCTCCTTAGTCTTTAATTCACTTCTTGTCAGATGAATTCTTTCAGACAACCAGAATATCACTTAATGCATTACCTGAAAGTAATACATCTCCCTAAGTGCCTAACTTAATCTCAAGGAGTAATTTAGTCGCTGCATAGAAGAGTCATGTTGAAGGTTTGATTGTAGTCTAAAAGATTGTAAGTCACGGGAGCCGAAAGAGCTCCCAAGGGTCAAAGCTGGCACGATTTGAGCAGCAAAATAAAGTCGTGTTGGATTATAACCCAAAGCATAAGTAAATGTTTATGAGCCTATACTGATAAAAATAAATAATTGAATAAGTAAATAATTGGGAGAGAAAAGACAAATCTCCCATGCAGAAGAATTCCGAGTAATTTATGTACTCTGCCCTCAAGGACGCAGAATATAACTTTTCACTCTTTAGGTATGAGCTTGGCATAGTGACTTCTTTCCAAAGGTTACAATATGGAAGCAGGGAAGAAAGAGTAAGTTGACAGTGGAGAAACTTAACAAACACTATCTCAGCCAGGTGATCAAAATCAGCATCAACAGTGATAAGTCATATTGATAATAGGTGATCTTGACCCGATGTAATGAAAGTGGCCCTTCCGTTATTTGTTCCCCCAAAACTTATAACCCTCAAATCAGAACAGTTCCAAGTCAGGGACACTCTACAAATACCTAACCAGTACTCCTCAAAATGGTCACTGCCGTCAAAAAACAAGAAAAGTCTGAGGAACTCTCATAGCCAAGAGCAGCTAAGGAAATGCGATGACTGAATGTCATGGGAGACCCAGGGTAGGATCCTGGAACCGAGAAGGAACATTAGACTAGAAGTAAGCAGATCTGAATAAACATAGACTTTAACTAATAGTAACGTATCCATATTAGTTCATTAATTGTGACAAATGTACCTACTGATGTAAAATGTTAATAATGGAGAAATGGGTATGGGATATGTGGTAGCTCTATACTCTCCTCGCCATTTTTCTGTAAAACTAAAACTGTCGTAAAAAACTAAAGTTTATTTAAACACTGTAAATGTTACAGGTTAGATTCTGTTGCAAGGTTTATTCATAGAGGGTTTATAAACGCAAATGATAATTATATTTTAGTTCATTCCAAGTGGTGAGAAAATGAGACTTTTATTATACTGTGTAAGTTTTTTAAGTTTCTTTATTTTGGGGGGGGAGGGGCAATGTGCAAGCAAGGGGGAGGGGTAGAGAGAGAAGGGAGAGAGAATCCCAAGCAGGCTCCATTCTGTCAGCACAGAACCCAACGTGGAGTTGGATCTCATGAACCATGAGATCATGACCTGAGCCAAATCAGGAGTCAGATGCTTAACCGACTGAACTACCCAGTCTGGCATTGAGAATACTTGGAGAGTTTAGTGTAACTTTGTAATTAAAAACAAACAAACAAACAAAAACTTTTAAACTAAGAAGGGAGCAATTTGATTTTTTTTTTTTAATTTTTTTTTTCAACGTTTATTTATTTTTTTGGGGACAGAGAGAGACAGAGCATGAACGGGGGAGGGGCAGAGAGAGAGGGAGACACAGAATCGGAAAGAGGCTCCAGGCTCTGAGCCATCAGCCCAGAGCCCGACGCGGGGCTCGAACTCACGGACCGCGAGATCGTGACCTGGCTGAAGTCGGACGCTTAACCGACTGCGCCACCCAGGCGCCCTGCAATTTGATTTTTAAGGAAATGATACTTTAAACATTATGTTTGGGACTTGTCGGAGAGAACAACAAATCATCCTGTTAGCAAATGGTGAAATATTCTCCTTGCTATCCCACTCTAGTCATCGTTGGGAGTCCAGATAAAAACCAGAATCATTGCTTCTGGCAGAAATGGTCCATGAGTCATTGCGTGGAATTCTGGGCTAGATTTCAGGGAGACTGGATCATGCAGTTACGGCAGCACGAGTCTCACTCAGCCACAGAGTCATCCAATACCGTCTCCTTGCATATGACATGAGATAAAGAAACGGGTAGATTATGTGAAATCAACACAGAAGATATTGTAAGTCTGGTGTTTTATACTAGAGCAGTATTTTCTATTTTTTAAAGATAAATGATGGGACTTTCCCCCCGGCCATGAAGGAGTAAGGGGTCAAATTTACTTTCCCAATTGAAACAAGCGAGAAAACAAAAACATACGAAATAGCAGTTGGCAAAACACTGAGTATTAGGCGATGAAGGACAGTGACCATTGAGAGACAGGAAATGAAGGAAATGAACTCTATGATTACATCAGCTTATTGATTTCAGAGAATATCCAGACCGCATCACAGGAACGGTTAACCTGTACAGAGTCTGGTAGACACGGAGTTGAGAAGACAGATCTGAAAGTTAAGGGAGACAAAGGAAGCAAGAGTTTCCAGGACGGTAACAGAGAGGAAAGAGTTGCATAGAAAGCGAACTGGAGATTGGTAAAGGGTCCAACTCAAGACTGATCAGGGTGTATATGTATGGGAACTATTTGAAGTCAGACAAAGGACCTAACAGGATCAGTGCTCACACAGGGCCACAAATAGGGCCCGTTCCCATAGCCAGACTGGAAAACTCAAGATTCATGGACGATTGTATGGAACATACACAAGGGTCTTACTTCAATAGTTAGAAATAATTAGTGCTAGATCGAGCTCTGTTCTAGTACTATCTAATGAATATTTAAAAAGCAAGACCTGAAGGGATCAAATTGTTTCCAGATAATTGTGTCCCAAAACAAATGTGAAGAATATAAAAATAACCACTTACCAACTAGGTAAAATTCACAGTGTCTGGCATCCAATAAAAAATTACCAGGCATGAAAAGAAGCAAGAAAATTCGACCCATAATGAGGATCTAAATCATCAGTAAATCAAAACTGATGCAACGTATGTGTAACCGGAGTCTTTGAAAAAAATGCGAGAGGGACAGAAAAAGAATTAGAATAAATAAGAGTTCCCAATTCCTCTAACTTAATGAAAACTCTAACCTTCTAGATCCAAGAAGCTCATAAAAGCCCAAGCACAATGAATATGAAGAAAATTATATACTAAGGTCTAACAAAACAAAATTGCTTAAAAAGAGTAATAAAGAGAAAATCTTAAAAGCAGTCAGAGGAAAAAACACATTACATTCAGAGAAACAAAAATAAGGATGACAATAGATTTATCATCCAAATTATGCAAGCAAGAAGTCAGTGGAGAAACATCTTTAACTAAAGCTGAAACTGAAAGAAAAAATAAAAACCTTAAACCTAGAATTCTATTCCCAGCAAAAATACCTTTCAAAAACATAAGTGAAGTAAAGTCTTTTTCAGACATTCAAGAGCCAAAGTAGTTTATTGCAACCAGAACCGTACTACTAATTATGGTAAAGTAGGTCCTTCAGGAAGATGACACCAGATGGAAATGTGGATCTACACAATACAATAACAATAAAGGTAGAACACTAGAAATTTAGCATATAAAGTTTTTCCTTATTATTTAAGTCACTTAAAAATCAAATTGGTTATTGAAAAAAAAATTTAATGAAACATTTAATAAAATGTTTATTTTAATTTTGAGAGAGAGAAAGACAGTGAGAGAGAGAGTGAGAGAGAGAGAGAGCGAGAGAGAAACAGAGCAGGAATAGGGGAGGGGCAGAGGGAGAGAGAGAGAAGGAAACACAGAATCCAAAGCAGGTTCTGGGTTCCAAGCTGTCAGCACAGAGCCTGACGTGGGGCTCAAACTCACGAAGACCTTGAGATCATGACCTGAGCTGAAGTCGGATGCTTAACCGACTGAGCCACCCAGGAGCCCCTCAAATTGGTTATTTCAAACAAAAATAATAATCATATACTGTGCAGCATGAAACATTTGTATAAATAAGGTATATGACAACAACAGAACCAAGGTAGAAAAGGGAAAAATGGAAGCATACTATTATAAGGTTCCTCTACTGTATGTCAAGTGGGATATCACCACTTGAAAGTAGACTGTGATAAGGATGTATAATACAGACCCCAATACAACACTAAAATAACAAAACAAAGGGTAATATCAAATAAGCCAACAAAGGAAACGAAAGGGAATCATAAAAATAATCTTCAATTCATAAAAAGAAGGCAGAAATGAAGAAGAGTAAAACAAAGAATGAGACACAAAAAACAAACAGATGGTAGACTTAAACCTTAAACAGATGACCAAACGAAATGTGAATGAGCACCTCAGTCACCAGCGTGAGAGTGTCACATTGGATAAAAAGCAAGCTCAGACTACATGCTGCCTTCAAGAAATGCACTTAGAATATAATGACACAGATAACGATAGTAAAAAGATGAAAAAAAAAGGTATCTGGGACGTGAGGGTGATCTGGCTGCGACATCTGTCACCCCATTGATCGCCACGGTTGAATCGGCTGATCTGGCTGGCTAGGCGGGTGTCCCCTTCCTGCCTCACCGCTCCACGTGCGTCCCCTCCTGAAGCTGTGAGCTCTGTCGAAGAGGACGACCTTCCCCGATAGAAGAGGACCGTTCTTTGGTCAAGGGTATACGAGTAGCTGTGTTCCCCTCCTGGAACCTGTAAACAGGCTCTCAAGGTCCATTTGTAGGAGAACGTAGGGTAGTCAAGTTTCCATGACTCCAGACACATCCAAATGTGACACTGCACGTGGCAGTCGGCCTTTCTTAAAAAAAAAAAAAAAAAAAAAGATATCCTATGTTAGCACTAATCAAAAGAAAGCTGGAATGGCTGTATTAATTATCAGAAAAATAAACAGCAAAAAGAAGAGTATCAGATAAAAAACCTCATTTTATAATAATAAGGAAAGAGTCAATTAATCAAGAAGCTATGAAAAAAACCTGAGCAGTTATGTCGTTAATGTCATACCTTCTAAATACGTGAAGTTAGAAATGCAGGGAGAAATAAACATCCACAAGTATAGCTGAGGATTTTGATAACCTCT